TGATCTCGTGAATGTATGTAGTTATAATGAAGTCGTGTTTTGTAACCGGAGTATGAATTCTGGAAGATTTTTTCTCAGGATCCTGTATTTCATCCGATTTTTTGTTTAATGACTTAATAGGGATATTAGGGATGTCGGGGATAGGTTAGGTAGGTCGTTTTGGACATTTAAAGGACCAGGCTGCGTGATCTTCAGCGTTGCATGATGTACATTTAGGAGGAAGGTTAGAGTTGCAGGTTGAAGTATTGTGTTTTCCCTTACATTTTAGGCATGTAATTGGAGAGTTGCATAATTCGGTTTTATGTTCAAATGAGGAACATTTGCCACAAGGTAGGGGTACTGGAGGGGGAGGAGAGCTAGGGAAAACTGCATAATGGCAGTTTTTGTAAAACATTCCTCTGCTTAGCAGTTTTTCAAATGACGGGAGGTCACCAGTTATAATTCTTATAAGACGAGTGGGTTTATTTGTGGCTTTGGCTATTATTCTTTTGCAGTATCTCTGTTTGATGTTTCGCTGATTAGGTTGTCTGGGATTTCTAGTTCGACTGCATTAATGACACATACATAAGAGGCCTCTCGTGTTGTTTTGTTTTGATCTAGTTTAGGCTTTTCAATGGTTGGTTTATAAGAGGTAATCTTTCCTTCGCCTATTAAAGAGTCAAGAGTAGTAAATAGAATTTCTTTGTTGTTGTTGGATTTTAATAAAAAACCTTTTTTAGTCTTTAAAATAACGTCTTTAGAAGTTGGGTAAATAGTTGACCAAAGATCTGCCATATTAATTCTGGTAAAGTTTTCGTTGTCGTTAGTGATGTAAATTAGAGTATTGAAACTTTTGTTGCTTATTTCTTTCATTTTTAACGAGAAATTGTAGTGGGAATGATTATTGTTATTGTTTGAATTGATGTTTTGTTTTGTTGCGGAATTATTTACATGTAAATTTTTTGCAGTAGAGTTTTTTTGTTGTATGGAAATAGTTGAAGTACTTGCAGTTTTTTCGGGGATTATCTCGGGCTCTGCTGTCGTGTGTTTATGTTTTTTCCTAGCGGTGTTGTAGAAGGGAGTGTCTTCATCAAATCCCAGTAGTTGTAGTTCTAGACTCACGCTTCGATCTCTTTTTCCTCTGTCTTTCACATTGCGGGCATTCTCGTCAGGATCAGATAAATCGTCCTCCTCGGTTAACATATTAACGGTGAAACTTTAGTAAAATCGCGGGAACTCTTGACGCACAATACTGTTCAGTGGTCGCGAACGCAATCCATTTTTAAGAAATTGATAAAAAATAATTTTTGCACAAACATAATCTTAAAATCAACCATTTTTATATTTGAGTTCTCTAAAAAACGTCGACAACTGCATTTTAAACAACAAAATATACCTACGAATTCATGCCAACATAATACATAATACATGTATTATATATAATACATAATAATAATTATATTATAATGGTATTTTACCGTTGAGTGGAGACTCTTAATCAACGCTTTTAATAATGCTAAATGCTGTTTAAATTTGGACGACTTATTTGTTTGACGATTTTTACTGAATTCAAAAGTTTACACTTTTCACGTTAATCATTACTAAAATGTTTATTTATTGTATCTAATAGATACAATTTATATTAACAGCGACCAGTGGCGGCTGCTGGATTTTGGGTATACAAATATTTCAGTTATTAGACATGGGACCCACGCCAAATTTATAATAGTTTATAATGACATTAAATAGACAAGTTCGGCGCAAACAGAACTTAAATTGAAGTTTGCGAAAAAAAGTTAGTTTTTCCTGTCGCCTCACCCGCCTCCAGGCCCCCCTATTTAAGATAATTCAAATTAAAGTGGTGCAATTTATTTTATACTATAATTTATCGACAAATTTAAAATTTTATTTAAAAAATCCAAATTTTACAGATTTTATTCGATTTTAAATTTTTATTATTTATTTAATTAAAATATAAAAATGTTTAAAATTGGTATAAAACCTGTAATATTTGGATTTTTTAAATAAAATTTTAAATTTGTCAATAAATTATAGTAAATAATAAATTGCACCACTTTAATTTGAATGATCTCAAATAGGGGGGCCTGGAGGCGGGTGAGGCGACAGGAAAAACTAACTTTTTTTCGCAAAGTTCAATTTAAATTCTGTTTGCGCCGAACTTGTTAATTTAATGTCATTTTAAAGTATTATAAATTTGGTGTGGGTCCCATGTTTAATAACTAAGATATTGGTATACATAAAATCCACCAGCCGCCACTGACAGGGACTGTATGAAATTTATTTCTTCATTGAGATTAACACTGTTTATTGGAAAACCGATAAAAACTCAACCCAGGATTTCTTCTCGAAATACACCCAACAACACAACAAATCGTGCCACGGTTTTTTTCGATATTTTTTAACATTTTCCGGCTTTATTATTAAAAACACTAGTTTGTAACATACGCGTTTGACAGCTGATTATTAAAAGTTGTACATTTGTTACGATGATAACAGCCGAGTGGTCGCGCTACTAGCGATACTTCTTTAGCGTATAAAATTAATATTCATATTAAAAAATTGTTGTGTTTTTGTTTGTTACCCAATTATCAAAAGAAAAAGTATTATAGATCGGGAAACGTCTTCATCGTCTTTATCAAATAAAACTTTTATTATTATTTTTTTATCATCCATAATTCAACGCAAAACTAATAAGGATATGACACAGAACATAATGATATTAGAGATCGACTTGTCTAATCGTCCGATCATCGGATGAATAAAATATATTAATCGTCCGAACATACGGACGACTAATATATATTATTCGTCCGGTAATAACATAACGTTAGTTACGTCATAATTATAATTCGCTTTTGTTCACCGACCGTTTAATATTTGACAACAAGCTAGATAGCTTATATGGTAGGGCGTTCGCTTGTCATGCGAGAGGTCCCGGGTTCGATACTAAGAAGCTGTCGAATTTTTTTTATTTTTTTATTTCATAAATTTGTTGTTTCTTTGTTAAACAGTGTTCGGTTGGGTTGGGTTGGTTGGTTTGTTTTAGTTTTATCGTAACATAAAATCTACTAGAAGTTGTCGAACTTTTTTTATTTCATAAATTTGTTGTTGCTTTGTTAAAAAGTGTTTTATTTTTATCGTAACATAAATTTGCCCATTTTAGTTGGGTTTTTTGTTCAATGGGGCGAGGGGGGGGGCAATGGGGCGGGGTCGGTTGGGTTGTGTTGTTGAGTTTGAGTCCGATAATCTTTTTATTATTTATTTATGTTATTACCGGACGATTAATATATTTTATTCGTCCGATTATACGGACGACTAGCAACGGCCTTTCGACTTGTCTAATCGTCCGATCATCGGATGAATAAAATATATTAATCGTCCGAATATACGGACGACTAGCAACGGCCATTAGAGATAGGTTATGTTGCCTCTTATTCACGTATGCGCCGTCAGATTGTGCGTTTCAATTGAGTGTGTCGTTCTTTTAAATGCTTACTCACATTACTACATCTCATATCACATTAACTGAAGTGACCTGAGATCTCAGGCGAAAAGAACGCACCTAATATTCACCATTTTTGCTTTCGCTGTCAAAATGACAAGACTAGTGATAACCGGAAGTAGGGTTAGTATCCATAAAGAGAAGTTATGATTTTTATGTCAACGGGATGATAGTCGTTAAAAATTTCGTGTCCGCTGCTGTATCAGGTATTTAGTCGTTTTTTATTATTTTTCTTTTAAATATAAGAAAAACATATATCTATAACTATAGTTATAGATATATAGATGGAGAAAACCAATCTTACCTGCAACAAATGTTTTTTCGTTATGATATGATTTATGATATCAAATAATGTAATATCATTACATCTATTCTTGCTTTTTAGTATGAAATTTGTATTTATTTTAATCAATATTATTGCGAAAACGCAAATAACGAAAATATTCATGGTGGGTACTACCCATCTGGATTTAACAAAGGTGGAAATTTGACAAACTTCATTCAATTTTTAAATAGAGTTTGTAATAAAATGCTTTCACATGATAACAACCTCAGTTGAACTACCCAACTGGGGTTGAAACGTTTCGCCGGCCCTGATCATCGTTATATTTATTTAATAAATCAAGAGCGTAATAACATTAATAAATTTATTACAATAAACTTATTTAAAAAATATTTATAAGCTAATTGACATTGTCTAAAAATATAAGTTATTTTCCTGAATCCTGATACAATTTCTTGCAAATGCCAGTGATTACTGGCAAATCGACAACCCTAGTAATTTGGTTAAAGACTATAACCAATATTTTTTTCAATTAAAAAAATTACATACATGCAAAAGATTCCATTGAATGTGGGATAAATAAGACTAAAAAATATTTTACTGAAAACAAAATACCCTGGTTGTTTAACAAAGATAAGTCTATATTTAGTTAAATTTATGTGTAGTTAAAGTTATGTGTAATTAAATACAATTTAAACACCCATTGTGTTTTTAATTAACAGAGAGCAACAATATACATTTAGGTCTTTCAAGCAACAATACACCATATTTTTGGTCCATTGAACAACAAAAGTACCACCTAAGAAATCACCCTGTTTTATACAGGCTGTATAAAGGAAGATGTTATTATACAAAAGACGACAGCAATTATGTATCCTTCAATCCTTACAATCTTTTTTCGGCTGTAATGGAGCTACTATATTTACCCCAAAGTATATTCCTATGAGTTGAAAATGGAAAAGCGCATAATACGCAAACATTATGAATTCCCTGCGATATAAACATAAGTTAAATTTAATTAGCAAATACATTTAAAATAGATTTTGGATTCTGACCAAAATTGTATAACACAAATATAATATATGTATGTTTTAAAAATAGAATGCGATAGAATATGTATGCACTGAATATGCGTTAATAAATAATAATAACAATAATAAAAATAATACAAGGTAAACATTTTACAGTGTGCAACCAAAAACAAAATTCACTCACCCTTCCAGAAACAATTCTTGGTGGCGGTCTTGCAGGTAACAAGGAAGACTGTGGTTGTGTTATTGCTCTGCCTCTTTCCCTAAATGCTGGATGGATTATTTCTGCTCTAAGATGAGGAGGTCTTTCTTGACGAATCGCTAAAAGACATTTATTTATTTTTGGTTACAAATAATATTTAGTACGCCTAAACAATTTTTTTTTAAATTGTTTTTCATGACTTTTTCAGGCAAACTTCATTCACTCCTTTTAGCTAAACAATGAGATTAGTAACTTACTAGTGCATCATAGGCGGAGTTAGGAGGGGCCTTGGGGGAGCTAAGCACCCCAGAAAATAAAATTAGCAACATTTAATGAATTTTAGTTTTTTCTTTTTTTCTAGATTATTTTAAATAAATTTAGCAATACATAATCCAAATTTAGAATATAATTTTGTTAAAACATATTTTTGATTATGACATCTATCGAGTAAATAAAACGCCTAATAGACAGTGCCTATTTAAAAAGTTGATAGAAAACCATATGTTGGTTTATTAGGAAAGTTTAATTGGTTATGCTTAGGGTATCCCTAAATTATATATTGTGAAACAAAGACAAGTGCAACAAATACTCAAATACACCTTGTAGAAATTTACGGATCCAGACGTCGATTCGCCCTAGATTCTAAAGCCCGCTGCACAACAGCCCGGTAACGGGAACGGGAACCTATAAAGTTTATAGTATAAACAGTAAAGGTGGGAGACTCAGCAAACACTATCTATCAACAGTGGTTTCTTAGTCTCTCCCACCATCTGTTAAGATTCCTGTTCCCGTTACCGCTAAACGAAAAAGATTCATAAAAAAATATAATGATTTTAAGTAAATAAAATTAATGTTTCAAAACGGAACACAGGTTAGCTTAAAATAAATTTGCAAAAATGTTTTGAGTTTTTTTACTGTTTGTAATATAATATTTGTAATTATTTTATTGATCTTGTGTTTATTGGAAAGGCTTATTGCAATAAGCACTACAATTAAATGGTTTATTACTTAAACATCTCGCCTAAAAATTTATCTCTTCTTTAAAAATAGTTTAAAATTATAAAAAAAATTGTGTTTGTTATATTTTACAATATGAAAAAATTTAAGAGACTTTTGCCTAAAGATTTCTGAAAATAGTAATTTAATTTGTAGGTAGATACACATTATCACATAATACAAAAGATTTGGGTCTGGACTTCTGCACCCCCAGATTTGAGTATCTAACTCCGCCTATGTAGTGCATATTTAACAATAATATTAATAAAACACTATACCTAACACGCTGTAAAAGGGGTTATTTTAAGTACAAAAAAATCACTAAAAAAGACTCAGTAGTTTTTGGGTTATAAGGGTTGAATTTTATTTTTATGTATTGAGACTTATTATTTATAAAGGAAAGAAATCAATTTTCAAAAATATAAGGTTAAAATTTAATAATATAGGCGAAAAATCTAGAAAAACTGTTTTTTTGTAACCTGCGACCTTCGATATTTGGCAACGCCGGCACGATTTTGCTTGGGACTCTTGGGAAGTGCCCATATAAATAGGATTCCGAAGAAAAATATAACCTGGGTTTTTTTTACGAAGTAGGTCAGTTGGGGTATATTTGGATGAATTTTAATGTTTTTGGCACACTCGTGCAAATACACTGCGCGTCAAAATTAACGCATATCAAGTAAACAAAATCCAACTCTAAAACGCCTTTACCAATCTTTATAAAATTTTGGATAAAAATACTTTAACTTATATCTCAGTTTCCGTGTTCAAGGATTTTTCGAGAAAATATCCTTAAAGCCCTTTTATTTAATAATAAAACACGCTCGAAAAAAAACTTTTTTTTAAGTAAATAAAAAATATCCTATGAAAGACCGTATTTTTGTTAGTAAACCCCTCAATCCACACAACAAGGTCTGTTCGATCTCGTACTAAAAATACTAAAAATCACTGCAACACTGCACATCATTCAATGGCGGCCATTTTTGTTTACAATTCTTGTGCTTTGGGTTTCTACAGATTAATAATCGTTTTAAGGCTTGCAAGTCTCTCTGTAAGAAACACAACGTTTAAAACGATTATTAATCGGTACAAACCCAAAGCACAAGAATTGTAAACAACAAAAATGGCCGCCATTGAATGATGTGCAGTGTTGCAGTGATTTTTAGTATTTTTAGTTCGAGATCGAACAGACCTTGTTGTGTGGATTGTGGTAAACCCTGAAAATGTTGTACAAATCAAACGAACAGTAACGAAAATAAGTCGACAAAAATAATCAAAAATGGGTAATTTTTACCGACTTTGAAGCGGTCTTTAACACCATATTTTTAATTTATTTAAAAAAAAAATCTTTTAAAGTTATTTTTAGAACGTTTTTTTTATTATTATTTAATTAAAGGGCTTTAAAAATATTTTTCGAAAAACCCTTGAACAAGTAAACTTAGATATAAGTTGAAGTATTTTTATACAAAATTTTATAAAGATTGGTAAAAGCGTTTTAGAGTTATAATTTTTTTACTTATTATGCGTTAATTTTGATGGGCAGTGTATATAAAATTAACATCATTTTTTGAACAATTTAAAGATTTGCTTTAATATTAATATCAGTTGGACAATTTAAAGACCGTATATTTTTACATGAAGTTTTTAGTTGACTTTTGAAAGAAAATAAATCGTGTCATGTTTTCATTTACCTCATACCTTACGGGAAAAATGTAAACAATTATTTTGTAGACCATATATTATGGTCTATAGACTTTAATGTAAACTATATGTGGGTAAATATGAACATTATGGATTGTGTATCTCACGGTGCGGTAGTTTGACGATTTAAATCAACTTTAAATTAAACCCTTTCTCTTTCTACATTGATTCTATGTGACGTAAGGATGATTATGACCAAAAATTAAAAAAATCTATCGAGCGCTTTTTCTTATTAAGCAAAAACCCCGTATGTTAGACCCTTACCTTGCATTCACTAAATATTTTATCATATTATATTAATTTTTTTAATTTTATTTTGTTTAGTATAGGTACGTTAAAACCTCGGTTAAAACTAACGGCAAAAAAATTTAAATTTAATAATAAAAAACCGCATATAAAACTATAGAAGTATAATTCCTTGTAAATAAAGAAAAATGTATACATTTTTATATAAGTAATTGTACAAAGTTTTATTTTTAAATACATAATATTTTATTTAATAGCCTAATAAAATATTTATTGAACATTATTTTTGAGCTGTATTAATTTCTCTGATAAAAGAAACCCGTATAATTGTACAAAGTTTTATTTTGAAATATATAATTTTATTCAATAGCCAAATAAAATATTTATAACATTATTTATGAGCTGTATTAATTTCTCTGATAAAAAAACCCGTATGTAGAGAAGTTCAATCCTAGACATGTTTTTAGACGTGCGTTAAAATGATAAAAATACAAGGGGGCTGCTCAATTCCAAACCACCCCAGTAAACATTTGTGATATCACGAAAAAGTCAAGACGTGACATGTCACAACTTGATATCCAATTGCTGGCACAGTGATTAAGTTTGTCGTTTTATGTCAGCAGTGACACGCGCGTGATCTTTTTATGTCACGACGTGACCCCGCAGGGACGAAACTTTTCATTTAAATGACATTACTTTAATTTGGTCATAAAACGTTAATTACGTACCTATTATGTTATTATTGTTAGACACGTTATAGGTTAATGCTTTTAAACAATTATTTCCCCAAAAATATATAACTTCACTTTATATTTGTTTGCGATTTTGCAAGCGAAGAAAAAAATTAAATTCGTTTCCGTTTTATTTTTAATTTATAAATAATAATAAACTTTAAAAAAAAGCAGTATCATAATCAAAAATTTTATTTTAAATAACTATTTGGGATGTTTCAGCGCCGCCTCTGGATTAACTAAATTTAATTTACATTAAATTAAGCCCTTTGCCTACTACTAAAAACCTAAAAGGTTTTATCAAATTCGCCCAAAAAATAAATATTTTTTTTAATAACTTTACCACCCTGCCTCTCGAAAACGAAGCTTTAAAACATAAATACTTTTCTTCTGATATTTTCGATTTCTATAGATCACTAAATTTTCCCAATTAAAATCTGCGACACCCTGTATACATGTAGGTATTATACTTATAGCCCAGCAAACACACTAGTCCGGCCATGCAATGGCACATTAATGGGCACATTAATGGGCCTTGCATGGCCGGAATAGTGTGTTTGCTGGGAGGATACTTGATGCACCCTGTATAAAGGTAGTGTGCAAAACTTGTCTTATTATTATTTTATTTAAATAAATGTTGACTGTTAATATTTTAGCCCATAATTTTATTTCACCCAAGGCCGCAAGTTTGTTGAAGCTGTGATATACGATAAGAGGGTCGTCGCTATTGTTACTAGCGATGCAACGTGTTTTAAAAGACGTTGCATCGCAATTAACGATAGCGACGACGCTTTTTTCGTTTATCAGAGCTCCAACATGTTTTAAATATTCCCCTGCACTTTCGCTCGCGCATGCGCGCTAGCAATGTCACGGAGTGATATCCCATTGAGTGCGTATTGCGCTTGAATGTCACGACTTGATATCCCATTGATTGTGTATTGTGGAAACATATGAATGCGTCAGTGATATCACGATGTCAAGACGAGATTTCGGAGTGATTTCAATACGCAATCACAAATGTTTACTGGGACAGTCCAACATTTTTTCAGAACATGTTTTTTTATATTTTTGCATATACTGTATTAAAACGCACCTTCTAACCCGGCCTATTTGTTGATGAAAAACTCTAACACATAGCAGTAATATCAAAAAAAATCACTAAATACCCTACAGAGATCAAAAAACTAAAACACGTTTTTCTCACAATTTTGTTTTTTTACACATACTGTGTTTTAGAATGAAGCAGCCGAAGGGATTATTAATTTAAATAAGAAATATCTGCATGAATAAAAGGATTTTATAGGCGGCAATGCAACATAGTAGGCTTAGCCTCAGGGCTGGATGCTCCCGTGGACGAGTTTTGGTTCATGCCGCACATGACGTCACTTGATGAGTAGTTGCCGTGCCAATACACGAATAATAGTAATATTATCAAAGAAAATAGA